GTGCAGAATAAATGCATTGACCGCATCTATAAATGATTGTAAATTGACTTAATTATGAAACAAAATGAAACAAATTCAAGGCTTACCTAAGAAGCCGGGAAGACATTTGCCCTCAGCTTTGTTGGTAATCTTGAGGACAAACTCTTTCGAGTCATTTGTAACCAAATAGTAATTTCTGTCGTCATAGCCATTGAGTTCTTTGATTTGTTTCACTTCATAATTATAAAGTTGTTTAACTAATACTTTCACAAATTCTATGTTATTAGGTGGACGATTCATTGCACTTAAANCCTCAGCTTTGTTGGTAATCTTGAGGACAAACTCTTTCGAGTCATTTGTAACCAAATAGTAATTTCTGTCGTCATAGCCATTGAGTTCTTTGATTTGTTTCACTTCATAATTATAAAGTTGTTTAACTAATACTTTCACAAATTCTATGTTATTAGGTGGACGATTCATTGCACTTAAATGTTTTGTTTGATTTTTGTAATATTCACTAAATATTTAAGTATTTATACATTTAATTTATATGAAATAATTCAGACAAATTAGAATTGTGTTATATTTTTACTGAATTTAACTTTAATCTAATGATTGTACTATTTGTTATAATCAATACATTATGCAATTATTAAAGAATATATTGCAATAATTTTCTAAATGATATGATTTAGTAAATTTAGTAACTAAGACTTTAATAATTTTTATATTAAACACAAGTTTTATGAATATTTGATAAATTGTTTAGATATCCACTTCAAATGACTGATAAATATTAAAACTTATTTGATAAATTTTTAAATGATAACAAATTTAGGCACTTGCTGTACTTGATATCCTTGAGGTCTAAATTAAATAAAGTAAATACAACATTAAAATGAATTTATTTAAACTCATTTCTAATAAAGTTAAAATGCTTTGTATTTGAAGTACATGTTTTAAATTAAATCTGATTTAATAAAAAAATCCTAAATGTGTTGAGTTCACATGTCATCGTTATTGATCTTTGAACTAATCAATAGCATAATATAATACACGTTCAATAGATAGCAATCTAATACCGTATAAAATAAGTGAAAATTATATAACAAAACTTATAGCAGATAAAACTTCAAACACGATGTATTCACGTCCGCCTAATAACATAGAGTTTGTCAAACAGTTAGTCAAAAGACTTTATAATTATGAAGTGAAACAAATTAAAGAACTCAATGGCGCTGACGATAGGAACTACTATTTGGTTACAAATCATGAAAAAGAGTTTGTCCTCAAGATTACAAACACTGTAGAGGGAAGTGTGCCTGGACTTTTAGGTTAGGTGTAAAATTTTTATTTGTATTAATCTGTTATCAATATATTGAAGTAACTTTTAATTTATTTTAGATGCTGTCAATTCATTTATACTATTCTTACACAACAATGGGTTTAGAGTTAGTGTCCCTCAAGTGAACACAAATGGAAAATACTTATCGTATGAAGAGATACCATCACCAGATGGACAGTCAGTACACGAATCACCTTTGAATACGGCATATGGGGTCAGACTATTGGAGTTTATAAGTGGGAAGCTGTTAAGGGATGTGCCGTTTACTCCTCAATTACTCACAGAATGTGGTCAAGTGTTGGCTCACATGACTATAGCTATTCAGGTCTCATATAATTTACACACAGTTTTAGTAAATAATTGAATCAAAAATATTTAAAAATAATATAACATTTTATTCAGACATTTGAGAGCCAAGTGATAAGTAAAAGCCGACCGGATTGGTCTCTTCTAAACGTGTTAGCCGTCAGACAATATATAGACGCCGTTCAAAATCAAGAGGACAGGGATGTAGTGTCGGCCACTTTAGACGAGTTTGAGCGCACAGTTATGCCAATTCTGGATGAGTTGGAAACAAACTTAATTCACGGCGATTTCAATGAGATGAATATCATTGTCCACAAGAATCCTAATGAACATCCAGATAATGAATATCACGTGAAGGGAGTCATAGACTTCGGTGACATTCACTACGCGCCCAGAGTTTTCGATTTAGCCATATATTTGTGTTATTCAATGTTATTCTTCACTGCCGGCCC